GGCCCCGGGATCCTGCTGTCACAGAACACGAGGGCAGGTGATAGGGGAAAGGCGGAGGGCTCCTGGGAGGAGGCGGCTCTGCTTGCAGCAGCAGGGTTGTTGGCTGACAGCACAGGCTGGCAGAGGGAACAGGCCTTTACCAGGCTGGGCCCGAGACGAAGGGGTGATCTGACATGTTTCCGAAGAAACACAAACCAAACCCAAACCCACTGCATCAAGCCGATTCCCAGCCAGACCCTAGAGGACAAGGTACAACTGCCCCGTAGGGTTTCCAAGACTCTCCATCCGTGTGGAAGCAGATTGAACCCTCTTTATCATACAGAGAGGCTGGTGGGTTCAAACCTCCGATCTTTTGGTTGGCAACTGAATGCTTTAACCACCGCACTATCCGAGCTCCTTTTAATGAAGATACAGCAACGAATAAGCCAAAATCCCTTGCCCTCAGTGAGCCTACGTCGCATCTCAAAGGGACAAACAGCTAAGTCACAGGATCCCAGATGCTGATCAGTTTGCTGTGGAAGAAAGAAAGGAGATGGGGGAGGGGTGACCAACTGATGATAAGTCTAGGAAGCCTGAGTGATGTCACGTTCGAGCTAAACATGAAAGAGGTGAGGGGAGCCCTGTTGAGATGTCTGCAAGTAAAGCTGCCAGAGGACCACAAACGCAAAGGCCCTGAGACAGAACCTGGAGGCCGAGGAGTTATGTGGAAGGAGTGGTTAAGGAAACGGGGTGGCAGCCAGCCCAATCAAAGCGGGAAGGGGACGGCTAGCGTGTGGACGTGTAGGGCCACCGCAACAATGTAGGCTTCTACAGGGAGATGTCACACCAGTGGAGGGGTCTGTTTTATTGAGTCACCGCGTTACCAAGAACGCCTGGCGAACTGCTTCCAGGGTCACAGCCATGAAAACTCTACACAGCGGTTGCACTCGGCGACACATGAGTTTGGGGGTCAGAAGCCACTCACTGGGCCCCTGGTTCGGTTTACTGAGATAAATCCATCCACTATACAATCCACCCACTTAAAGCGTAAACTAACTTGTTTTGGGTATATGTAGAGTTATGTATCTGTCACTCCCCTCTCCCCACAAAAAACATCTTAGCCCTCAGCTATCACTAGTCTGCTTTCTGTCCCTATAGATCTGTGTACTCATGTAAACAGAATCACATAATATGTGATCATTTATAATTGACTTCTTTCACTTAGCTTAATGCTTTCAAGGTGCATTCCTGGTGTAGCCTGTTATCAATACATCATTCCTTTTCATGGTTGAATACTATTCCATTGCCTGGATATACCACATTTTGTTCATTTGTGAGAGCCAGGTTGTTTACATCTTGTAGCTCTTATGACTAATGCTGCTAGGAAGATCCATTTACAAGCTTTTGTGTGGCTATGTTGTCATTCCTGTCAGGTACGTACTTAGGAATGGAATTGTTGAGTCCTATAGCAACTTTGTGTTCAACCTTTTAGGGAACTACCAGTCTGTGCTCCAAAACGCCTGCCCTATTTGACACCCCTACCAGCCATGGCTGAGGGTTTCTGCTGCTTCATCCCGGCCATACACTTGTGGTTATTTGTCTCTTTTGTTCTAACCCTTCCAGTGGGTGTGGAATGGTATCTCCCCCATTCCCCTCCCGGCTAATGACACTAGCACCCTTTTCAGGTGTTAACTGAGCACTGGTGTATCTTCTTTGGAGAAACAGCTATTCACATTCTTGGCTCATTTTTCAATTGGGTCATTTGTTTTCATTACTGGGTTGTAAGAGTTAGAGGTTTTGTGAAGAGGAATAAAAAAATCCATCAGCCAGAGTCAGCTAAGCTAGGGGAAAAAAAAAACAAACCGACCTCTGCCATGGAGTGTATTCCGACTCACAGTGACCTCCGCTGGGTTTCCAAGGCTGTAGGTCTTTACCTAGTAGGTTGCCTCCCTTCCTCCTGCAGAGCAGCTGGTGGGTTTGAACGGCCGACCTTCTGGTTAGTAGCCAAATGCTTTACTCACTGTGCTACCAGAGTGCCTCAGCTGAGCCAAAGGGGGAAAGATAGATATTATTTATCACTGTCTTATAGATGAAAAACCCAGAGATCCAACTAAACAGTGGCCAAAGACAGTGAGCCGCAGAGCTAGGATTCAAGCCCAGTCTTCATCGACAATGGATAGCGGTTCCCATGCTACCTTTGATCTCTTGCCAACCCCAAGCTCCTTGCCGAACTTCCTCGGAGGCGCCGGCAGGTGGCGATGAAGCCCCGCCGGGCCGCTCTGTCCAGCCCGCGCACCTCTGTGGTACCAGGCCCCTGGGGCCGGCGCACTTCCGGGCGCCGATCCAGGTGAGCCAGGCTCTCTCGAGAACGCCTTTGGCGTCCTGGACCCCGAAGCGTGGGATCCTCTCAGGGCCTGAGGTGCCGAGGACTGAGATCAGGGTGCCCAGCTAGAGGTCAGGGAGCCGCCCGAGGGGAACACAGCGAGTCCCCGCGAGGCCGGATGGGCTCAAAGCCCGGCGCGCCCGTCCTCCCGGGAGACCTCCGGTCTCCTGGGGTCCCTGGCGGTCCGGAAGCGGAGCGTGACTCCTCCCTTTGGTTCCCTCGCTCCCCGCCAGGCGACGGCGTCTGCTCGGCTCGGGTTGCCCGGCGGCTGGAAGCTGTGACCAGCCTTCGGGGGTTAAGATTGGCGAAGAGTCTCTGGCAGAAGGCGGTTTGCCACTTAAAATAAGTTTGCTTCCTGGGCTGTGTTTTTCAGCCTTAGGATCTCCTGAAGTATACATGCAGTTCTTGTGCTTTTCAGCCAAAGGTCCTGACTCAGATGGGGGGTGGGCCCCAGGAACCAGCATTCACGGCCTCTCCAGGTTGCTGCTGCTAGCCTTGACCTCACCTCCGGAGACACTGGTAGTTGAGAGGACCACTGGATCGGGTCGACCCGGATCTCTTTTATCTGCAGGAAGGCTTCCACTGAGAGGACCCTGGCTGGGCTTTGGGTTGAGCAGCGGGCATCTCCGCTCCGCACCCCCACCCCCTGGTGACGCGTTTCCCCGCCCCTCCTCCCCCCAGAATGCAGAAGGTCTCGGTGCTGCTCTGCCTGTCGTGGGTCTGCTTCCTCTTCTACGCGGGCATCGCCCTTTTCGCCAGTGGCTTCCTACTCACCCGTCTGGAACTCACCAACCATAGCAGCTGCCAAGACCCCCCGGGCCCCGGGCCCCTGCCTCGCGGGGCTCGAGGGGAGCCTGGGGCCTGCTGGATGGCTTCCCGTTTCTCAAGGCTTGTGTTGGTGTTGATAGACGCTCTGCGCTTTGACTTCGCCCAACCCCAAGGGGCACACAAGCCTGGGGAGCACCCTGCGTCCCTACCTTTCCTGGGCAAACTGGGCTCCGTGCACAGAATCCTGCAGCTGAAGCCGCGCCATGGCAGGCTCTACAGAGCTCAGGTGGACCCGCCCACCACCACCATGCAGCGTCTCAAGGCCCTGACCACCGGCTCCCTGCCCACCTTTATCGATGCTGGCAGTAACTTCGCCAGCCACGCCATAGTGGAAGACAACCTCCTTAAGCAGCTTGCCAGGGCCGGTCAGTCAGCCCCGTTGGAGGCCAAGAGTACCTTAGCTCATTCCTTCCCTAGCAGTCAGGAAGCCAGGACTTTGGGTGCCCCACTGCATGTTGGTGCTGTGAGAGGGACAGGAGGAAAAAGAGCTGAGGGCCTTGCCGGCTGGAGCCCAGTATAGGGCAGAAAGGAGCAGAGATCTGAGCTTTGTGCTTGGGGAGCTTCTAATCGGCATAGGGTGTTGGTCTTACTCTGTGTGGAACTCTCAGTACAGTGCCAGGAAGAAGGGAAGAGGAGATGGGGGCCTGGTGCCCTCAAAAGCGCGGAAGGCAGAAGGACCAGGCTCTGTTCCCAGGGACTCATTGATGGGAAAACCCGGGTGCACCCAGGAGCTGCCCAGCAGAGGTACTCAAGGAAAGAGCTAGGAGAGTGTTTCACAGGAGTGAGGGGTGAGAGGTCTGGGTGGAGCGTGGTTGTTGGAAAGCTTCCGGAAGGAAAATTGCACGCCTTGAGAGAGTTAGTGGGGCAGGGCAGCTGCTGTGATTTAGGGTACGTGGTTGGGATTCCCGAGAGGTCTTTAAAGAACCTCTTTCCTGTTTCCCTGTCCTCACGTCCCTGCAGGAAGGCGTGTGGTCTTCATGGGAGATGATACCTGGAAAGACCTTTTCCCTGGAGCTTTCTCCCAAGCGTTTTTCTTCCCATCCTTCAACGTCAGAGACCTGCACACGGTGGACGATGGCATCCTGGAGCACCTCTACCCCACCAGTGAGCACAGGGCCAGAGGCAGAGCTGACAAAGACAGAGGGTCCGGGGAGGGCTGCTTCAGTTCACAGATCCGGAGCCTCCCATTGGGCCAAGGGCCTGGGTTTGTGTCCCTGGACATAGACGAGTTGTCCAATCCTGGCTGGGGTTGAAATGTGGACCTTAGTCTCCTCTGCTCAGTGTTCTCCCCTCCACAGTGGACAGTGGTGAATGGGACGTGCTGATTGCTCACTTCCTGGGTGTGGATCACTGCGGCCACAAGCATGGCCCTCATCACCCTGAGATGGCCAAGAAACTTACCCAGATGGACCAGGTGATCCAGTGAGTGTGGGACACTGGCGGGGGAGTGGACTTCTGTCTGAGAACCTCGGCATGTGTGTCACAGGAGAAAAAGTATTCCCCCGGAGCTCTGTCCTGACTGAATTCCACCTTCCCCAGGTCATTTTCTGAAGCCAGGAGCCTCATTCACCTTGAGTGACTCAGAGTCATATCCCTCTGCCAAAGCTCTAGGTCCCACTGACGGAAACGAAGGCTGGGGTGAACGGGCCCCGAGGAAGACCTTTATCCATGTCTCCTCCCTGACATATTCCTTGGCCCCCAGGGCCCTTGTGAAGCGTCTGGAGAATGATACCCTGCTAGTGGTGGCCGGGGACCATGGGATGACCATGAACGGGGATCACGGAGGGGACAGTGAGCTGGAGGTCTCAGCCGCGCTCTTTCTGTACAGCCCCATACCGCTCTTCTCCAGCACCCTGCCAGAGGTGAGGCCCAGGGTGGCCCGGCGTGGTCTCATCCGAAGCTGCGTGTTTAGCCCACACCTTGATCACTGCATCCTCCTGGCTCCTTTCATTCTGGGCCCCAGGTCATGACCTCTGCATCCGCTATTCCTGTTTCCTCCCTAGGGCCAGTGCCTTCCGCCCCAAACATGGACTTGAGCTCTGTGGTGGACTCTGACCCTGTGCCTTCCCTCTAGGAGCCAGAGGTAGTTCCTCAAGTCAGCCTTGTCCCCACGCTGGCCCTCCTGCTGGGCCTGCCCATTCCATTTGGAAACATCGGGGAGGTGATGACTGAGCTGTTCTCAGGGAACGAGGACTCCCCAGTGTACTCCTCCGCTCTGGCCCAAGCCGCAGCTGTCCATCTCAATGCTCAGCAGGTGGGTGAGGGGCCGGGCTTCCAGGCGGCACATGGACTGGGTCTGGGAGAGGCACAAGGACTCACTGCGTTGCCCCATGCCAGTCTTACCCACTTGGCTCAGCCGTGTTCTTCTCCCGTCCTCCCTCCCTCCCACCCTGCATAGAGGTCAGGTCCTCCCCTTTTTATAATACCTGCTCTTGCCGCCGTCCTAACTTCTAGCTCTGACTTTGTTCCCCTTGACCTCTGACTTTTCCTGCCAGGTGTCCCGATTTCTTCTCACCTACTCAGCCGCTACTCAGGACCTCCGGGTGGAGGAGCTCCAACGCCTGCACAGCCTCTTCTCCAAGGCCTCTGCTGACTACCGGCGGCTTCTGCAGGACCCGCAGGGCGAGGAGGCAGAGCTGCGCGCAGTGGCAGCCGACCTGCAGCAGTTCCTGCGGGGCGCGCGGGCCTTGTGCATCGAGTCTTGGGCCCGGTTTTCCGTGGCCCGCATGGCAGCGGGTGCCACTCTCTTGACCGCTGCCTGCGCTCTCTGCCTGCTGGCATCCCAGTGGGCAGCGTCCCCAGCCTTCCCCTTCCGCCCTCTGCTCCTGCTCTCCGTGGCCTGGGGCCTGGCTGGGGCCATCGTCTGTGCTGGACTCCTGGCAACCACTGGGCTGCAGCTGGATCTGGTGGTTCTAGGGGCTGTGGCTGCAGTGGGCTCACTGCTGCCTTTTCTGTGGCGAGCGTGGGCTGGCTGGGGGGCCAGGCGGCCCCTGGCAGCCCTGCTGCCCATCCCTGGGCCCACCCTGCTGCTCCTGCTCGCTCGCTGGGCTGCCTTTTTCTCTGATAGCTTTGTTGTAGCTGAGGCCAGAGCCGCCCCCTTCCTTCTGGGCTCGCTCATCTTGCTCCTGGTTGCCCAGCTTCACTGGGAGGGCCAGCTGCTGCCACCTAAGCTGCCCACCATACCCCGCGGCGGCCCTGCGACCCCAGCAGGCCCCCCGCGGCACCAGGGCGTGCACGCCCTGGGGCTTGGACTCGGACTGCTGTTCTGTACGAGGCTAGCTGGCCTCTTTCATCGCTGCCCTGAAGAGACACCTGCTTGCCGCTCCTCCCCCTGGCTGAGCCCTCTGGCGTCCATGGTGGGTGGGCGAGCCAAGAATTTGTGGTACGGAGCCTGTGTGGGGGCACTGGTGGCCCTGCTAGCTGCTGTGCGGCTGTGGCTTCGGCGCTATGGCAATCTCAAGAGCCCCGAGCCCCCTGTGCTCTTTGTGAGGTGGGGAATGCCCCTCATGGCCCTGGGCACTGCTGCCTACTGGGCACTGGCCTCGGGGGCGGACGAAGCCCCGCCCCGTCTCCGGGCCCTGGTTGCCGGGGCGTCGGTTGTGCTGCCGCGGGCTGTGGCAGGGTTGGCGGTTTCAGGCCTCATGCTGCTGCTCTGGAGGCCTGTGACGGTGCTGGTGAAGGCCGGGTCAGCTGCCTCCGGGACCAGGACTGTCCTCGCTCCCTTCGCAGGCCCCCCTACTTCTCAGGCTGACCTGGACTATGTGGTCCCTCAAATCTACCAACACATGCGGGAGGTGTTCCGGGACCAGCGAGAAAGAACCAGTGCTCAGGGCCCCCTCACGGTGGCTGCCTGCCAGCTGGGCAGCGTCTACTCGGCCGCTGTGGTCACGGCCCTCACCCTGTTGGCCTTCCCACTTCTGCTGTTGCATGTGGAGCGCATCAGCCTCGTGTTCCTGTTGCTTTTCCTGCAGAGCTTCCTCCTCCTGCATCTGCTGGCTGCCGGGATACCCAGCACCACCTCCGGTAAGTCCGGGCCTCAGCTGCCCTAGAGCAGCAGACGGTGATGTGAGCTCAGTGCTCCCTGTTGTCCGGGAGGTGGACTCCTCAGCTTCCTCACCTGGATGTGGGGTCTTTTTTCTTTTTTTTTTTAATTTTAAATTTTTTATTGTGATGTGGGTGAAGATTTACAGAGCAAATTCACTTTCCACACAGCAGTTCACATACACTTTGTCTCATGACGTTGACTACAGTTTACCCCAATGCAACAGCTCCCTCCCACTTCCTCCCCATAGTTACCTCTTCCTGTGGACACAGGGTCTCACGGCCACATAGTCGGGAAGGTCTTCCTGATGTCCTCTCCTCTCCTTAGCCAAGCCTCTTGACGCCTTCTGCTGGCTCCCAGGGCTGGCAGGGTTCCTTCAGGAGGGACAAGCATAGCCTCACGTGTGCTGATGCTACGTTCACAGGAGGGCATTTCCCGATTCCCAGTGACGAGAGTGGTGAATGATGAATGTATAATGAATGAGAGACCAACCGCAGTGGGTTGTGGAGGTTCAGGTTCAGATGATGGGGCCTCGTGCCACAGAAGGAATGAGAATAGCAGAGTGGGGACTGTAAGGAGGTTGGGGTGACGGGCATGTAGTGTGTAAAGGTTAACAGTGCATTGGGGGCAGCAGGCTGTGGCCTGAGGAATGGGATGTGACTGTAAGGCACGTTTCTTCCCCCAGGTCCTTTTACTGTGCCATGGCAGGCAGTTTCTGCTTGGGCCCTCCTGGCCACACAGACCTTCTACTCCACGGGCCACCAGCCTGTCTTCCCAGCCATCCACTGGCATGCAGCCTTTGTAGGATTCCCAGAGGGTCATGGCTCCTCCACCTGGCTGCCCGCTTTGCTGGTGGGAGCCAACACCTTTGCCTCCCACCTCCTGTTTGCAGGTACTCCATCCCTTACTCTGGCTTTGTGAGAGGAAAGGAAACCCAGGGATTTCAGTGAGGAGACACAATGTTGAGGATTCTTTGGTGCACCCTGGCCTGGGCTCCCTGGTGTCTGAGCCAGCTAGAGAGCTTGAGAACCAGGCAGGGTGGGCTTGTCCCTGGCCCTGCATTGACTCCAGCCTTTTCTTCCCCCGAGGCAGTAGGCTGCCCATTGCTCCTGCTGTGGCCTTTCCTATGTGAGAGTCAGGGGCCCCGGAAGAGGCGGCAGACCGCAGGCAGTGAGGCTGAGGCCAGGCTGAGGCCTGAGGAGGAGGAGGAGGAGGAACCGCGGATGGAGATGAGGCTGCGCGACGCACCCCACCGCTTCAGCGCCGCGCTGCTGGGGCTGGGCCTCAAGTACCTCTTTGTCCTTGGCGTTCAGGTGGGTGCGAGGGGGAGGGCAGGCGTTCACAACCTTTCCTTATGTGTGCGCATCACGTTCTCTCCTTCCTACAACGTTAAAACCCTGGGAGGGAGGCTTGACTGAGCTTCAGATCAGTGAAACGGCTGTCTGAGGTCACCAGACTCCCACGGCCATATTGGGACTGGAACCTGAGCGTCCTGGCTCGTAGTCCTCGGTCGTCTCCTCACACAGCCTGCTGGTTGCGCTTGGGGATTGCTCCAGCAGTCACAGACTAGAAAAGCTGAGGTGAGGGCCGTGGACGTGAGGGCCAGGGGTCTTTCCCAGGCTGTGGCCATGGATCCTCGCATGGTGATGACATTTTCCCGCCCCCTAGGCTGCTGAGTGAGTGTTAGCATTACAGACGGATAGTAAGTCGCCTAAGGTCACACAGTGAGCCAGTGGTTGGGTGAGACCAAGAGTTGTCCCTAACGGCCGGCACAGGGATACTTTCACGGACCTGGTGCCTCCAGCAGCGCCCCTCTGCCCTGCGTCCTCCTCCCCTGCTCAGGTAACATGGCCCCGTCTCCTCGTAGATTCTGGCCTGTGTCTTGGCAGCCTCCATCCTGCGCAGGCATCTCATGGTGTGGAAGGTGTTTGCCCCCAAGTGAGTATGTTTGCTTAACAGATAGAGGTGGTGGGGAGGGAGAAACTTGGAGCAAAGGAGGACTCTGCCGGCCAGACAGGCTTTGGCCTGTGCAGGATGAGGCTCTTGAGACACCTGCAATGGCCCCTGAGAGTCCCCGCCTTCTCGGCAGGTTTATCTTTGAGGCTGTGGGCTTCATCGTGAGCAGCGTGGGACTTCTCCTGGGCATAGCTTTGGTGATGCGTGTGGATGGTGCTGTGAGCTCCTGGTTCAGACGGCTAGTGCTGGCCCAGAAGAGGTAACTGAGGCTGTGGGGGCTGCTCCTGGCCGCTCAGAGACTGGAGGACAGCGGAGCCTGGCCTGAACCGGTGCTGGCTCACCTGTAAGAGGCACTGGCTACCACTCTGGCCACCGTGCAGCCAGGGGCTGCCAGCATCTGGGACTTCACAGAGGGGCCTGGTCCCTGGTTCCGGCCTTAGGTGCTGAGAGGGCCGAGAGGTGATCTCCAAAGTGGAATAAAACAGTTCCCTGAATGTGTGCGTTTGAAATGTGGAGACACTCCCCGTGTCTGTGCCCCGCCACCACCGCCTCGCACAGTCATCTGATCCAGGCCTGGCTGCACCTGAGACGCTTTGGCGGGTGGTTGGCATTGCCTGAATTTACTCCCTCACCCCTTCCCAGATCATCCCTGTTACCTTGTACACCATCTTCCTTTGCCATGCGGACAGTTAACCTTCTGCGCTTTGGCTGATGACAGAGCTGCGGGGAAGGCTGAGAAGACCAGCCCAGGGGTCAGGGAGTGTTGAGAATTGAGGGGAGGAGACTGATCTGCAGTAAGGGACTAATAGGGAAGGTTTCTGTGGGACCAGCTCCACCTGTAGGTTCTCCCCCTCCACTCTGTAGAAGTCCTGGTGTCGTTACTGTGATGCCCTTACCCATCAGGGGCCTTTCATGTTTCTCGTTCACTTCCTGAAGCCATAGTGGTGCTGTGTACCTGCTCCGGTATCCGTCACTCCGGGACACCCCTGGCCCTTCCGTTCTTAGGAGGCTTCCCGAGCCTCCCATCTCGTGCTGTCTGAGGCCAGGAGTGGGGACCGCTGGAGAGCGTGGTGCGACTGCAGTGCAGCACCTTTTGGTAACTAAAATCGGTTGCTGGCAAGTTGGTTATGACTCATGGCAACCTGAAGGATCTACAAGGCTGTAAATCTTTACAAAAGCAGACTGCCACATCGTTCTCTCACATAGTGGCTTGTGGACTTGAACCCTTGACCCTTTGGTCAGCAGCTGACTGCTGTAACCACTGTGCCATCAAGGCCCCTTAGCTTTGCAAAGGCTGGAGGGAAGAGAAGCCAAGTGGCATGGCTGTGGAGTGAAAGCGTTCATCTCTCTGTAGTAGCTAAGGGATGAGTTGAAACTTCACGGCAACAGCCCCAAACAGGGAGCCCGAATAGGGAGATAAGAAAAGTGCGCTGTTTCAGGCAGTAGGAGGATGGTGATTATTAATGCAAGGGGAGGACTTAGCTGCTTTGTGAGAATTAGGAGAAAGCCCCTCTCGCACCCCTGCAGAGCACACAACTCCCAGACCTCGTTTGGGAGCAGACGGTGCCTCCGAGAGGGGAGGGGAGCAGACGGTGCCTCCGAGAGGAGAGGGGCCCTTTGCTGCATCCCCAGTCCCGTGGGAAGGACTTCAGGCTCCAGCCCCCCACACTCTCCTCCTCTGTTTTGGCAGGGGCCCCCTTGACTTGGGCCGAGCTTTGTTCTGATCTCCCGACCACTTTTCCCTTTCTATTGATTATTCAGAGGAAGATAATGTTAGCACACTGATTTACACCATTAGAAGTTCTTTCTAACCAAACTATCGTAAGTGCACACCATGGAATACTACGCAACACTGAAGAATAATGAATCAATGAAACACCACGTAACGTGGATGAACTAGGAGGACATTATGCCAGTAAAATAAGTCAATGACAGAAGGACAAATATTGTATTAGTCCGTTACTGTAAAAAGTCAAGGAAAGGTTTATATATGGAAGGAGACTTTCTTTGTTGGTTATCAGGGAGGGGTGGGGAGGGGAAGAGAGGAAAAATTGCTAGATAGGTAAGAGACGAGTACCAATTTGCACGAAAGGAAAAGCAACATACCAAAAGCAAGTGACCGATACAATAACAGGAAAAGGAGGACACAGGTACACAAGAGGTACGACAGGTAAGGATTGTTAATTACACAATAACCCATTATCAGTAATACACAGTCTAAAGGTAGATACATAGATCGATTCCAACTCATGGCGACCTCCATCGGGTGCCTGAGACGGTAAATCTTTACAGAGGTAGATTACCCTACCTTCTTTCCTAGGAGCAGCTGGTGGATTTGAACCACTGACCTAGTTAGCAGTCAGATGCCTTATCCACTATGCCATCAGAGCTCCTGGATACATAGGTAGACTGACTAAATGATCAGGTATGGGTAGACAAAATGGAATATATCCATGACCATCTGTAAGTTTCCTTAAGGAGCTCTGGTGATGTAGTGCCTAAGGCATTTGACTGCTAACTAGAAGATTGGCGGTTCAAACCTACCAGCCACTCTGTGGAAGGAAGACTGGGCAATCTACTTCCGTAAAGATTTACTGCTCGGAAACCCAATGAGGGTTGCCATGAGTCAGAATCAACTCGATGGCAGTGGGTTTGTTTTTTTGGTTTTATGTATAAGTTTGGCATATGATATTTCTACATCCATACTTGTCTAAGAATGCCCAAGATACATATAGCTAACAGAGCAAAGTTATGATGACTCCTTAGCCACAGCCAAACACCTTGAGGGAGTGAGTTGCTGGGCCTGCAGTCTCAGGACCATGGTCGCAGGGGACATCAAGCTCAACACTACACGAAAACATTGTTCTACATCCTACTTTGCTGAGTAATGACTGGGGTCGCAAAAGCTTGTGAGTGGCCATCAAAGATGCAACAATTGGTTTCTCGTCAGGAGCAAAGGAGAATGAAGAAAATTAGATGGAAACAATTTGGCCAAGGGACTAGTGGACCGTGTGAATCTCAGCCTACAGGGCCCTGAGACCAGGACTAGATGGTGCCTGGCTAGCGTTGTCACCCGTTCTAGAAGGGATCAGTGTAGGGGATCCTGGATGGGGTGGGAGAAAAATGTGGAACAAAAGGCAAGCTCATAAAAAGACCAGGCTTACTGGTCTGATGGTGAAACTCCTGATGCTATCTATGGTCCTTAATCACCCCTCGGCCCTGGAATTGGACTCACTCCCGTGGCTTCCAGCCAAACAAGGTGAACATTAACCCCAGGTAGGTACATTCTTAGAGGAATCAACCATGGGAGATCAGAAGGGGAGCATTTGCACAGGGAGACAGCAGGAATAGGTAGGAAGGAAGGACACAAGAAAATGATAACCACAGAGACGAAGTGGGAAGAGAGCTATGACATTGTGGGGATTGTGATCAATGTGAAACAAGATGGGTGTGAACTGTGGAATGGAAAATGGATTTGCTCTGTAAATGTTCACCCACATCACAATTGGGGGGGAAGAGAAAATTTCTAATTACATGCCTCTTTCACTTGACATCAGAGAGCCCATTCAATACTAATTCACTGTTTGTTTGTTTTTTAATTCTTCTTTTAAGAAAGCAAGGATTGTGAGGACGGCGGAGGACTGTTCAGTGTTTCATTCTGCGACCCTTTCATAGAGTTGCAATGGGTCAGAGCTGACTCGATGGCACTTATCAAAACCCAGGTGTTTATATAAATGCAGTTATACAACATGTGGCCTTTTGTGCCGTAATGCCTAAGGCATTTGGCTGCTAACCAGAAGGCTGGTGGTTCAAACCCACCAGCCACTCCTCAGAAGGAAGATTGGGCAGTCTGCTTCTGTAGTGACACCGCCTCAGAAACCCAAGGAGGGGTCGCTGTCTCCCTGTGATCGACTCGATGGCAGAGTGTTTGCTTTGCTTTTGGTTCTTGTGTCTGGCTGCGTTCAGTCTAATGTTTTCAAGTCTTATCCGTGTTGTAGCATGTATCAGAACTTTATTCCTTCTTGTGGCTGAGTAATATTTTATTATATGGGCATATATTTTATCTGTCCATTAAATAGCTGATGGACCCTTGAGTTGTTTCCACTTTTGAGCTATTATGACTACTGATGCTATGAACATTCTTGTGCAAGGTTTTGTTTGAAGACCTATTTTCGATTCTCTTGGCTATATGTCTCTAAAAGTGAAAATACTGGTTCATAGGATAACTCTGTGATTAACCTTTCAAGGAACTGCGATCTATTTTCCAAAATAGCTGTACCATAGTACATTCCCACCATCAGTGTATAAAGGTTCCAGTTTCTCTACATCCTAGTTATTATCTGTCTTTTTTATTTTAATCATCTTAGTGGCTGAAAGTGGTATCTCATTGTGGTTTTGATTGCATTTCCCGATGTAGAGTATCTTTTTCTTGTGCTTATTGGCTGACCACATTTGTATCTTCCTCAGAGAAATGCATATTCAGATTCTTCACTCATTTTTCAGTTGGGTTGGCTTTTTATTCAGTTGCAAGAGTGCTTTGTGTATTCTAGATACAAGTTATTTATCAGCTATATAACTTGCAAATATTTTCTATGGTTGTCTTTTCATTTTCTTGATGGTGTCCATCCGCTGAAGCACAGAAATGTTTAAGTTTGATGAAATCCATTTTACCTCTTTTGTTGCCACTGCTACTGGTGTCATATATAAGAAGTTACTGTCAAATCCTACATTTAATTTTAGAACTTTTCCATGATCTCAAAATGTTCCCTATACTTCATTTACAGTCAGTCTCCAATCCCATCCCAGGCAACCACTCATCTGTTTTTTGTCTTTGTAAATTTATCTTTTCTGGACATTTCATATAAATGGAGTCATGTAGTATGTGGTCTTTTGGTCTGGCTTCTTTGGTGTGGATAATGTTTTCAAGGTTCATCCATGATCCACGTTGGTGCGTGTATCACTATTTTGTCCCGTTTTATTGCTAAACTGTATTCTATTGTATGGTTATGGCCTGCTGTTGAATATGGGGATTATTTCCACTTTTTAGCTATTATTAACATTTTTAGTTGCCATGAGGATTTGCTTACAAGTCTTTGTGTTGGCATATGTTTCATTTTCCTTAGGAATATTCCTTGGAGTGGAATTGCTGTGTAAGAGACAGTTGTTCAAACAGAACAAGGGGATACAGTGTGGTTTAAAATCAGGAAGGGCATGTGTCAGGGTTGTATCCTTTCAGTCTGTATGCTGGGCAAATAAATGAGAA